CGCCCAGTCCACGTGCATCCGGACCCCTCTTAGGGAAGCGCGCTGGTCGAGATGGCGGGTGCGTGGAAGTGGATCAAGAGAGTTGTCAGCGCACTAGTAGAAGCCTTTGTGTAGAGCCAGTAGGACCTGCCAATAATCGTACAGGGTGCCTCCTGGGAATCCAAGTGGTGCTTGTTGTGCGGTCTCCAAGCACGTGCCCCTCTGCGACGGTAAAAGAAGAAAAGTTGCATTTTGGGGAAAATAACGTAAACCAAGTGGTATGATTTTACATGCCTAACCTGTTTGCAGGCTGGCTTCTCTCTTAAGCAGCTGTAGCACTGCCAGTACTTGTTTTCCGCAGCAGTAACATTCATCCTGACTCCACAAAGTTAAAAACATCTTTGTCTCAATAATTTCAAATGCAAATTTCAAATGCTTATTTCAAATGCAAGAACGAAGACCTGTGACATATGAAGTTTAGGTTTACACAGAGTTGTGTTAACAGCCTAGTTCTTCTGCCTTGTGGCTTTAGTTTTCTGTTACCTCATGCAAGGTTAAAAGAAAAGGAACATTTTCAAGGCACAGGCATTTTATTTTCAGCATGTTCTTTAAGATGTGAATCAAAAGCTGATGCTGACAGCATTTGTTAACAGGCAGAAATAGAATGAAGCAGAGTCAGTAAAAATAATTTAGTCAAAATTCCACAAATGAAAAGCGTGTAATGTGATAGCCTAATGCAGTCGATTGCACTTACTTTTAGGATCAGGTTATTCTCAGAGTATGTTACTAACAGCTTTCTATTTGTCAGTACCAGAGCTTTCATTTCTGTAGTAAGAATATTTTGTATCAAATGATGGTGTAGTTTTCAGGGTCCTATAGAAAGATCCAATTATTTAAGGCTCATAATGTGATCTATACTTTATGCAAGATGCTAAACTGAGAACACTCATCAGTTCTCATAGTTGTCAACTTTGGATCTGTGGTTTTAACTCTGGAAGTAAATATGAGGCAGTTCTTAAGGGTAAGGTCTTCAGGAGTATCTGAATTTAGGAGTTCATGTGCAATGGGATATAAGCACTAGAAGTTAACACAGGCACTGTTAAAATCCTGCCCTGTCAGCTTAATTTCAGTTTTACCTTTCCTCATTCTGACTCTCCTTCTAGTTAAGTATTATATACTTAGCTCTTTGTGCATTTATTTTGTGAAGTCATGCTTTTTGTACAAAAGAGGAAGAATGCAGATGTTTTACACTTACAGAACTTCTCTTTCTCTTACTTCAAAATGATTGTTGTCCGTGAGTCTCAGAATAGTCAGTAGTGTGGGCTCTGTGGGGATACCTTTATGAACTGAAGGCAAACTCTAACAGAGTTTTTGAATTTAGCAATAACGTTTTTAACAGGTATGTTGCATGTGTAGTAACTATGTTAATGTAGTTATAATGTCTGCCAGGAGAGGCTTAATTATACTAAGTCTTACAAGAGAAGGAAAAAAACAGAGAAGTTTGCCTCCCAAAATGCTCTTTATTATTGAATATTTTTATTTTAGGGGTTTTTTACACAAAGATTTTCACAGTGAAGATTCGCCCTTCACCTCTTCCATAACCATCTGCTACTTTTCCATTTGACCTAGGCACCCACTCCATCAATAGCTGCAACTCTTAGCTGCAGATCCTGCTTTCAGAGTAGAAAATGTCCATCTCTTCTACAGCTGTTGCTCTCAAACCCAGCAGGTATGCTCTTGTGGTTGTGGCATTGGTGCCTGCTGGGAGACCTGGGTTCTCTTAGCAACTCTAGAAATGTTTTCAAACTCCCAAAGAGTGAGAGTTGAAAAGGGATCTGTAGGAAGACTGAGGGAGGTGGTCGTCGCTCCTTGTCATCAGGCACAGGTCCAGCCCTTACTCTGGAAACTTCTCCACACCGAAGTCCTGCCCACACTCACCAGGTCTTCCTTGCCTCACTAGGAGAGGGCTTCCTAGGAACACCTTGTTCAGCTGTCTGCAGGAAGAAAAGGAGGAAAATTGTGTCCCCACTGTACTCTTGCAGCAGAGGGGAGCAGGAAGTATTGTTATCCCTAAACCTGCTGCTCTTCCCAAGGCCTTGGAAAATGAAGTTAGAAAGGTCATAACCATCAACTGGTGGAAGAGATGTGGGGAGGGGCAAATACCAGTCTGTATGATGTTCTCCCTTCACCTCATGAAGATGAAAAAATCATAATTCGGAAGACACCAGCTCCAATGATGCACATAAACACTGGTCAAGAATAACTGACTTTGTTCTAACCAGAAGTGTAGTTGTCTTCCTTTTTTAACATCTTAGGCTCTAATCCTTCACACCTAGTCCATAGGAAGTGTGTGTCTCCTTCTCAGCTGGCATTTTATAAAGTGGCTGCTGTGTTTGTGTGTCTACCACGTGGTAGGAGCTCCAAGCTCCTAAGAGCTTAGCTTTCTGCTGCGTGAATTAGAGAGTGACTTTTGATCAGAATGTGCTTAATAGTGGAGATGGCTCTTTCAAAAGTTCCTGGAAATAGCAGTGACTCTCTTAATGTAACAGAGCTCCAGACAGCATTGTGCAATGTTAGAGATGTCAGTAACTCAGTTATTTAAGTACTTGCTGGCTGGATTTGTGAATAGATTTCTTATTTTCACCTTTGTTGTTGTCTTTACTCATCAGTACACAAATAACTAAGTAACAAATTATTCTAGTTTACTCAGATAAAACCAACACTTAATCTTGGAATAGAGTTCTGAAGAAAATACTTACTCAATCTTCCTGTTATAAGCCTTGTCTACTAGTATGAAAATTGTAGGTTGGATATTTTCAGTTTAAGTCGTGAATTCTGTATTAAATTGTAAATCTCAAGTAGTAGCCTCCATGGATAGTCCTTGACAGGTATCGCTGGTGTCAGATACGTTTTTTTCTGTATTTTCTAGATGTTAAAGGAATACATTATCTCTGTGAGGTTGTTTGAAGTAGGTTAGCGTCAGCTTTCCTGCCTTCCTCTGTGACTAATTTTTGAAGCATGACAGCGATTGCAGCAGTGTCATTTGCTTTCCACCTCCTCCTCTTCCGGAGTTCTGGTCCTGGACACGGTATCGGTGTGAATAGTGGCAAGATGTGGGCAGCCTGAGCTTGTGCATTCCCTAATGAAATTTTTGTTGGCACTTAGTCTAACGCTGGTACTGTAATTTCTGAAAGGGCATCTGTGAAACAAGAAGACACACCACTTGGCAGGAGGGATGAACAATGCTCCATGCAGGGTGTTCTGGACACTTGCTGTCAGCTGGACTGCGTATGAAAAGCTAGCTGCCGTATTTTTCCTTCTTTCTTCAGAAACTTGAACTAGCAGATTTTTTCACATGCGCTTCGTATGTTTTCTCTTCCTACCCCTTTCCTTTTTACCCTGTATTTCAGATCTAAATGAGTGTGGACTAAAGCCACGGCCATGCAAACACCGGTGTATGAATACCTACGGCAGCTACAAGTGCTACTGTCTGAACGGCTACATGCTTATGCCAGACGGAACGTGCTCGAGTACGGCAAGGCTTCTTGCTTGCTTTTTTTCAAGCTTCTCCAGATCCCTGCTTGGTTTTCCCTGGGAAACTTTTATGAAATGAGGATGAGTCCCAAAGTAAAAGATTAATCTTGCCAGAAATTAGGCAGTTGCACAAGATGAGATACTTTTCTCTAATGAGATTAGGCTGAACAAAACAAGAGCAAATATTTGGATTTTATTAGTTTTATTACAGGTTTCCCCGGAAGCTTTCTTCAGTGCCGTAAATCGCTGTTAATTGGCCTTCCAGGACAAGTGCTTGCAGTTTTTGTGGCAGGAAGACACCTACAGTTTTGCCATGTTATGTCCTTATGAATGTAAAATCATTAAAGCTGCAGATGTTGCTTGTTTGACTGGTATAAAATTGTACTGTCATCTCTCTTGAGATCAGGTTGCCACTTGCTTCCGTAAAAGTGGATACTTCAAGTGTCTGGACAGAGAGAAGAGGAGAGAAATTACCTTTAATTAAAGATGCTCCTATTTTAAAATGGCAGTAATGTCCAGGAGGGTTTATAGTACCTACTGGGCTTTATATTCCTCAAGGGGCTGCATTCCCGTTCGGTCCCCATGTTTTGCCTGATCTAGTCGAGAGGTGGCGTCCCTGGCGGCAGGGAGGCTGGATTAAAATGATCTCTAAGGTCCCTTCCAGCTTAGGCCGTTCTATGATTCTATGATTCCGTGACATAACTTGTTACAGTTATGAGACAATTTGTAGAGAGAAAAAATGTACTTTATATGCATTTACTCTTTGAAACCTGAATGGATATCTGTCAAAATCACCAAGCGTTCTTTCGCATCTATCACAGTTATACAATGTCTTAATTCTCCAAAGTTTTTATTGATTTTCCTGTTACTGATCAGAGTCCTTTTCAATTATTTTTCCCTAGATGCCCTTTCTTGCTCGATGGCAAACTGCCAGTATGGCTGTGATGTACTGAAAGGGGAAGTTCGCTGCCGCTGCCCTTCTCCAGGACTGCAGCTCGGGCCTGATGGCAGGACTTGCGTAGGTAGGTGATCAAATGTAGATTTGATTTTTTTCCTCCATATGTTTTAATCCTCACACTGAACACACAGTTCAAGCGAGTTTATCAGATGTATTTAGAATGCAGCATGCATGCAGTTTAAAGACATTACTGATGAGAATTGGGATAGGCATGTTGCTCAGGTGCTCTCAAGTGGTTTGTGTCAGATCACCAGGGTTTTCCTCCAGGTCTGCAAGTTTCATTGACTGCTTAAAACTTGCACAGGCTGCTTGACCTCCAGGCCCTCGGCCCTTGGCCCTTAGCACTCCTGTTAGTTGGTCTTTTTAAACTATTGCTAACAGAGACTCTGAAATACCTGCCTGCATAAAAAAAGGAATAGGGAATTCTGCTAGCTCTCCCAACAAGGTGGTGCCTGGGCTCAGGGAGTAGGGGGATAATTTGTGCAAATCATTGAGATTATGCTGGGCAAGGTGAAGGTCTGTGAGTGCCCCCAACATTAGTGAGATTGAAGCTACTGTCTTCCATACTGTGAAAACTCCAGGTTAAAATTAACTCAGGAATTCAGGCTCTATAAAAAGTGAAATGTTTTGTTCCCACATTTGTGAACGTGGAAAAGGTGCTTATGGTTAATCAGACTATTGCCCCACACTCTGCTGTAGCCTGAAGAACAGTGTGATGTGTGATTTCATTAGTCATTAACTATACATCCTGAGTGAATATGATGCTCCAGTGATTTTATTATTTATATTCTATGCAGTGCTACAGTTCCATAACCAGTAACAACACTCACACTGAAAGAATGTAAAAGCATGTGGATGCCCTAATTATCCATTTGGGTATCATGGCTGTCTGCAGGGGAGGTGCTCACCAAGGATTTGTTGGCAGAGCAGAGGACAGACTCTAGATCTCTTGATGCGAGGACCAGGCTGAGCTTTAAGTAGGATGCTTTCTAAAGTGCATGAATGGCATGTCTGTATATGCAAAAGAATGAGTAGAACAGGAGAAAAAACAACCCACGATTGTGATTAATCACACTGTGGACATCACAGTGGACAGAGATCTTTGGAAGAGACTTGTGCCATGCTATATTGATCTGAGCGATTTTAAGTATAAATTCAAGGAAATTATATAAAGTACAAAAATTTGTTAGGAAAAAACTTGCAAGATTCTCCTAGTAAGTACTTTTATACTCAGACAAGCTTCATGCTTTGAAATAATCCAAGTGCACTTTTAATGCCACAGACTAGCACTCAAACCAGTTATAGGAAGCTTTTTCAGTTCTTCAGCATGGTTTTCAGAAAAATACTTTTTTTTCCTAGAAAGGTGAAGAACTGTATACCCACATTTCGGTTGAGTGTCCATCACCCAGATTGAGCGTATAACCTATTCTTAAAATTTCCCACAAAAATTTCAGAACTGTCTTGTACAGTGCAGAGGAAGTAGTCACAGCAAGAGATGTCTCTCCTTCATGGGTCATAACATGATCTATGCCCCTTTATTGATAAGAAGTGATTGTGACATGCACCCCGTTTGTATTATTTCTCTATCGAGTCTGAGTTATACTAAAACCAATAAATACCTCCAAGAATTGAAGATATTTGGGGCTAAGACTGTGTCTTTCCCTCACTTGCGTACAAGCCTATCACTGTGGGAGAAGCTGTCAACTCCAGTGAGGGTCTGGGTGTTGCAGCAATACAAATAGAAGTGCAGATGATGGTAAAAAAAAAAAAGAAAATTGAAATCCTTGTTTGAGGAGTATTTGAAGGACAGCTGGGAATGTAAGGCTTATTTTTAGCACAGGTGGAAATTCCTCTAGGCATTATTCTATTTTTGGTTTAACCCATGCTGATCATTCTTTTGTTAAAACATTCCTTCCAGACAATCAGTAAAGAGCCACCAAACAATTTGGCTATGAAGGTAAATCATATAAACTACATAACAATGAATTGAAAAAGAATTCAGCAAAGTGTTCAGTGAAAACACGGATTAATTGACTAATGAATTGATTAATGACTGTTGAATCACTATATCAATGTTGCCATCTTTTTTGACTGGGTTTTTCATTTAATGAGGTTAACAGTATACACATTTCAGCTTCAGAAGGTCTGAAATTATTTGAGGACTGGAAAGAATTATTTTCATTGTAACATAAATTCTTTCTGGTTCTTCTGGTCGTGTATAGAAACTTGAAAATATTGCCTTGTAAACTTAAAAATCATGCTATTTTTGAATCAGTCTCATAGCTGTTTAGTGCTTGAGGTGGTAATATGGTCATACTCACAGTAGAAGACTGTCACTTTTTTGCTATTTTTTTGGTGTCATTTTTTTATAGCGTATTGATGAGTAGTTCAGTCCTGTATCTTTAGGATGTGTAACTGCCTAGAAAATGAAATGATACCGCTACAGTGCTATCATCATCTAACATACTTCTTGCCTTATGGAATTTGAGTATGTGCAGAAGGGGAGGCAGAACAAGTTACATTAGGTTTTAAAGAACATAATCCATCGCCGTGATGTGGTATATTCAGTGGCTAAATGTTTTCTTATTGAATTCCTTTTTGAAGTTGTGGTTTAATGATAAAAAACAAAAGCGAAAATTTACTCATGGTAATCAAGAGTCTGAAATCTGCAGCCACAAAATAGTATTTTAATAAAGAGTAAAAAATTGTGGCTTCTAAATTAAATTGCTATAAGGAACATGGTGGAGTTCGTAAATCTGTTAGTAATGTACTGAAAGCCTAAAACATTAGTAGTAGATTCAAACCAAGAGGTAGATTTATAGGGGGATTCAGGCATGTGGAGAGGTGCCTGGTATTGGCCTTACTGTCTTTCTCATTCAGACCTTCACCACGGCGTTATGGAAGGGCTCCCATCTGTGAGTAAAGGAGAGCTCTTATTCTGGAGAGCTCTGTCGGGCCGGGAGTGTGAGAGCTGAGGGATTGAATCCTTGCTGTCTTCAGTAATTCTTCATGCAGAGTGGGACAGTGCCAGCAGGAGCTACTGGGAGAGCCCATCCAGCTTTGGGTCGCTTCTTTTAGCTGTGGGAAACACAGCTTGGGGAATTTGAAATGACACCTCCCCAGCCTCAGGTAGCTGCCCTACCTAAACCAGCAGTTTTGTGGTAGTGTGGGTTTTTTTTTTTTTCTGTGATTCTATGTAAGAGACTCGGGCTTCTCTGTGCTTTGTTCAGGCCTCTCTCTCAAGCAGCAGGGCATCAATCACTGGGCTTTGTTTTGCACTCTTGACACCTGCAGCTGAAGTGCTTCTTTTGGGAGAAGAATTGTGTGGAGAGCAAAATCTTGCTTTCCCGTAGATCAAGAGCCCAGCAGAGCTGTAGAGCAAAGGCTTGAACTGTGCCCTGTAGATAACCAACAAACGGCAGGAGTGGCGTGCGTCAGAGCCAGCCGTGCACGACAGGCCTGTGCCTCAGTGAAGAACTGGTTTTAAGCACTCGGCAGGCTTCAGCTCGATGTCTGGGGGCTACAGAGCAAGTGGCTTTTGTGTATCATCCTGACCTCATCTGAGAGTTTCTCAGACAGCAAGAGCAGCCCTGGGTGAGCATCTGCTGCTCCCTGGGCCACTACCTGGCTTGTTAGTCAGCGTCAAGAACAGCAGCTTCTGGGAGATGAGGGGCATCAGACATCTACTGAGCATCGCCTGTGTCTTCCCACTCTTCTGTCCTTGCCTGGATGTCGCTTGCAAGGCCCTACTTTGGGTCCTCCTGGGAGCCCCTGGTGGGGCAATTGGGAGCCATATATCTCAGCACCTCAGAGGGTCACTTTAGGTAACAAACTTCTCTGTAGAAGAACAGTCAGCTACAGCAGAGGCACTGTGCAGAGTGAGAGATTGCAAAGAGCAAGTACTCAAAAAACTAATTGGCAGGAGACCCAGAAATACTGCACCCCTAGCGTTAGCTTGAACTCTCTTTGTTTAGAGCAAGTCCTGAACAGATGAAGATTTCCTGATAGGGTCAATAGCCAGGTCATGGGTTAGGGACACCTGAGATTTTAAAAAAACAAACCACTTCCTACTTCAGGGGGATGTACTTTGAATCTACATGTATTGCCTGTGCTACAGGAACAATATGTGAGGCATCTTTCAGAAAAAGCAATTACTGCGGTATTTTTGTGGTTTTGTTCCTTGCCTGCAAATTGCTGTCTTTATGACCAAGCAGAGCTTAGTGGAACAAAAGAGAGTTACACAAATAATACGGAATAGCTTTTTTTTGGACAAGTACCATTACAATTTTAAGCATGAGTGTTTCGAGGCCTTGGAGAAGCTGTCGTGCATTCTGCAGGGAGGTAGAGAACATCTCTTCAAGGGGAAGGGTACCAGGATGGCAGGCGTGTAGAGGAAGCATTCCAAATCTGGTAGCAATGCTCATCATGCCAGTGCCTCACTTGTCACAGTATTTGTAAGACTTCTGGCAGAGGAGCCATGAAAATTTGGGTTTGTGACCAAGAGCTGAACTGAGATGGCACTGCCAGAAGGTTGTGCTTAGGTATTGAGACTGGCTGACCAACTTGTAGCCAGAAGGACCTTATAAAAATACTTTGGCTATTCTTCTTTAGTTATTCATTATGTGAAACCCATTCAATTTATGTAGTATAGATTGTATTTTAACTGCTGTTAAGAGTAACGCAGTTCCTTTGTTTCCACAGATATAGATGAATGTGCTACTGGGAGAGTTATCTGCCCACGATTTAGGTACTGCATCAATACTTTTGGAAGCTACATTTGCAGGTGTCATAAAGGCTTTGATCTAATGTACATCGGAGGCAAATACCAATGCCATGGTAATAACGTCTTTCTTATGTGCATGTGATAGAGTTGCATATTCTTAATGGAAATTAATGGTTTAAAGAGGAACGTTCACTTATTGTTGCTGAAATGTTGAAACAAGTTGTTTTAGGAGAGGGTAGATTGTAGAAATAGGCTGTGAAAAAGGAGGCATATTTGGCCCCCATTCTTGTAACCAGTTCTCCTGTGGAAGCTCATGGGAGAGCAGAGCTGATGACCCAGGAATTCCTTTCCAAAGCCTGTGTCCGCACAGGTTTCACCCTGCGTGGGCAGTTGCAGGTTTGGAGCCACGTACGAGCTTAGGCTGTGTCTGACCTGTAACACAGATGTGCTCTGTAGCGTGCCGCAAGATTCGAGACAAGAAAATGTGGCTAGAGCACAGCCCGGCTTCTTCTCACCCAATCTGCCTAACTTTCCTGCCCTGGAAGACAGGTGGGGAGAAGGCAGGGGTTGAGAAATAACCTGTCTTTGTCTGGACATGAGACTGGAATGCAGCTGGTGTGTGCCCTTCAATAAAGATGTTCCCAGGTGGTACTGTCTCAGTTTCCCAGGGCCTCAGCTGGTTATGAACCTTTCATGGAAAAAGGGTTCATGTGGACAAAATGAGACATTGCTTTATGTTTGTTTAAGTATTTTTTTTTTTTTTTGAGAGGAATCTCTGTACAGAGCACTGGTATTTGTAGATTTTTTGCTTGCATCCCTAACAACAAACATGGAAATGCTCTATGAGGTATTTGAAGCAGTTTCTACTTAATGTAGAAACATCTATACAGATGGATGATAGGGGAAGCATTTTATGAAAAAAACAGTTTTAATACCTGTGTGATGAAGAATATGTATATTCCTACACTCAGATTTTCTTACCATGTCACCTTTAAGAAGTGGTTATTAAAATTGTGATCTTCATGATCTTGGCTGCAATCTACCTACAGCACACCACTGAACCTGAAGCTTAAGGCATAAGCTGAGCACTACTGAGTTGCACAACAGTCCCTTTTACCCTGATGTTTGTATCAGCATATGGGTTCGTGACTGTCTATCTGCCTTTTCCCACTGGCTGTTCAGTTTTATTAAATTTTTCAAAATGAATAAAATTTTTCTAATGACCACACTACTGTTTATGTTTTTGCAGGGATAAACAGAAGGTCAAGTTTCTTTGATGTGAGTGACTTTTTAATGTAATTTTCTGTTGCAGATATAGATGAATGTTCCCTTGGCCATCATCACTGTGGTAGCTTTTCACGGTGTTACAATACACCAGGATCCTACAAATGCAAGTGTAAAGAAGGGTACAGAGACAACAGAACAAATTGCATACGTATGTAATGCTCCTTTTCAAAAAAGAATTCTGAAAGTAAATGTGTCTCTCATAAATTTTGAGACACAGCACTATCAGGCTCAGTTTCTCGTAACTGTTTTTAATATTTAATATGATGGCAGGGAATGCAGTCAGAATCTTCTGAGTCTTAGCATGTCTTGGTAAAAATACTTTTCCCCGAGACATTTTCATAATTAGAAAGAAATTCACCTTTCCCTATTCAAAACTTCATTCTAGGGATTGCTTCAGGATGAGAACAACTGAGTAAGCTGGGTAGGTCTGGTCAGACAGTGCACATTACTCATAGCCTGTTGTTGTGTCACTGGCCCATTTTAGCACCTTGCCCCATCCACTCCCTGCTGCTCCCCAGTTGTGAGCAGAGCTGAAACAGGGAGGATTTCTCTGGAAGAATTCCCTTCCTCACCCCTCTCTTGGGAGAAGCTGCTGTCCCCCTTGGTACAGAATGGGCCGTTGGCACTCTCCCACATTTGACATCCCTCAGGACTGTGCATCTCCGTGACGTCTGCTGAATTTTTTTTTGAGGACGCAGTGTTTGTGCGTGGAGTCTGGTCTTTGGTGACTCACCTGATCTCTTTAAAGAGCGGTACTGTTGCTGACTTGATTCCCTTGGCTGTAGCTGTCATGGTAATGTGATCTAGATCTTTCACAACCTGACCACTTGCAGTTATATGTGGACACACTTCAGATGTGTTACTGAGATATAGTCCTAAAGTGCACTTTATATTTTAACATAATGTAAAAACTGGAAGGTATTCAAAAGAATAGTAATAAACAGGTGGCCAGAGAGAAAACCTTTCTACCTGCTATTGTCAAGCAATTCATCATTTAACAAACAGTAGTTCTTCATTTTAACTGTGTGTTATACTCCAAACACACGTACGCAAGATATGTGACCCAAGTTCTTATTGGGGGTTTTAAAATCTCCTGTGAGATATAAAAGGCTTATTAAGAAATAGAAAGTTATAAATAACACAACAGGTGTTCTTGCATTTCGTGTCTGTGGAAACTCCCCTTGTGAAACCAAGTTAAAATCTGTTGTCCTTTATGAAGTATTGGGAGATATGGTACTGTAGGCACTTTCACTGTGGTGTAAGTGGTGCTCAGTTCACTTTCCCTTTTTGTGGAGACTGAAAAAATGAAATGGCCATTTACTTAGTTTCCTGGTGCTTAGCAAAGGTAAAGATGTAAATTAAGGCTGTTGGCCTACGTTCAGTCTCTGTAAAATGATTAGTGCTTATTGACAAGGAGAAAAGTTGAAAAGAAGTGGAGAGATCTGAAAGATAACTTTCTTAAAGCCAAAGCTGTCTGCACACCCATGAGCAAAATGATCGTAACGTTGGAGTCCTACTAACTCACCTCAGCTCCTGAGTACAAACTTGTCCAGTTTAGAGAGCTGCTTAACACACATCTTTCTGTCTGTGCCTTTTTTACTCACAGTGCTTTGGGGTAAGTTTTCTCACCTCTGGAAGAGATTTGATGATTGGTAGGAGGTGGGGATGAAAGCCTCTTAGCCTTCAGTCATCTTAAATCATCTCAGAACTGCCAAAACGACACCTAATATCTAAAGGGATGTGATAATTCAGCAGTGCTGGTGCTAAAGTATGCTTCTAAGTAGTGGAAACATTCAGAAGAAGAGAAATTATTTCAGCAAAGACTCTTGGTATCATAATGAAATATATTGTTAACTTTCTGGAGTGGGAGACTCAGATGTCCATTTTGGTCCAATTTTGATTCTCTTTGCAGTTATTCCTAATGTTAGGATTGAACCACCTGGTCCATACTGTATATTCAAGGGCAGCAGCATGCTGCCTAAGGGAGACAGTGGTATAACCAGTAGGATTCCTGATTTCAGAGGCACGAGACAACCCCTCAGACCACTATATGTACCTGCTGTTGTTACAGAAAGGCCAGTGACCGGGCCAACAGCTCAACCTACACCTGGGCCAACAGCTCGACCTACACCCAGGCCAACAACTCGTCCTACACCCAGGCCAACAACGCGACTGACAGCAAAGCCAACCACTAGGTACGTGCCAGTGACAACACAGCCAATAACGAAGCCAGTGACAAGGCCTCCACCTCCACCACCACCTCAACCTACAACATTCAGACCTACTCTACCACCGCAAAGAACTCCTCTGATAACAACTGCAGAGCCTTCACATCTTCCCACTGAAACTACATCTTCCCAAGGAATTACAGAAGACAACAGGATCCAGGTAGATCCTCAGAAACCCCGAGGAGATGTGTTCAGTAAGTAATTTTGCATATCACTTTCATTTATCAGAATTGTAGATGTAGTGAGGTGATAGTGTGCACTGTACTCTTTGGGGTTTTTTGGAACACTTTGTCAGTGAGAACAAAGACATGAAACTGGTAAAGCTGCACAAATCATTGATTTTATGACCTAACAAAAACGTGTGAAGGATGTTCTAGATCAAGTCAACTAAAAATTTCAGTTTTGATTCCTGAAATTATTTGTGAGTATGTTGTCATGCAAAAGCGCTTAACTTGATTAAGCTTTCAGATGAACATTCTAGAGAAGGAAAGACATGTTACTGGAAAACAGTGAAATTCAGCATAACTCATGAATAGTTAATGGATTCAAATGCAGGGAGTTGAGAGTGGCTCTTAGTGTATTTCCTTAAAGAATGATAAGAAGTGGGACCATGTCTGATTGTCTAAAGACTCTGTTACGACACCTTATAGAATCATAGAATGGCCTAGGCTGGA